ATGTTCTGCAGCCAAGATGACCTTTAAGGAAACCCAGGGTTTGTTTCTGTGGCTTAAGCAGAGCATTTTTTTACAGGGCTTCTCTTTTGCTTCAGACACTGTACACAATTACAGTGTTCACGTTCAGAGCCTCTGCAGAACTGGATCTCGACAGAAATTTTGCTGATTGATGGGACAAATAAATATGCAAAAACCTCACCCTCAATTTCAGTTGTCGCTATCTGGGGTTCTTTCACCTTAAAAGTTTCACGGAAATTAGAATTTTTTCACAGAATTTGAAATTTTGGATAAAAACTGTAAGAAAATAGAGATTAAAACTGATTCAGCCTGGTTCATACATGACTGGGAGAACAGAGGATTTAATTTTGTGTAATGATTCAGATCAGCAATGTAAAGGTTAATGAGGGCACATGTTGCCTTAGCTGCTCCTGGCTACTTCAGTATTTTGGCAAATATTGCCATGCCTGTGCTCTTAGTACAGATTGCCCTACTTGTCTRCTTGAGCCTGCCATTTTTAAAGCCTAGAACTGGGAGAAATAAGAATAAAGAAATGGGAAAGAGAGTGAGTGTCCTCCTTTCAGGAGGTGTTTTGATGAGCTGGTGGTGGATGCTTGATCCTTGGAGATTTTGCAAAGTACATGTATATGTGCATGTGTTACATGTGTATATGTATCTACCTATCTATCTATCTGATATTCTTCTCATGCAGCCCTTCACCAAAGTAACTTAGGATGCCCTTGATATAATTTCTGTGCTTTCTCATTAAGTGTTTTACATGCTACGAAGAGCAGAAGGCAAAAAAGCAGTGACTGCTCCTGGTGACTAGTAGGGATCTGCCTGAAAGAGGCAGAGTAAATATTTCCACTGAGAGACAATTTTTACAGACTCATCCTGGCAATAGCTGAAACAYTCGGCATTTGAACCTAGAGTTCAGATGATTTTTCCTTTTCTCTGTTCCACTCGTCATTTTATTGTCCTCAAATTCATGATTAACTATAAGGAAGAAAGAAAGCAAAAGCAATTTCACGTGTACGTACAGTACACCAAAGCCAACCTCAGAGTCGTCTCTGAAGAGCTTCCCAGGCCTTGCACTAAACTCCTTTTGTTTTGGGTCTAATAAAGCTTCCTGACAGCTCCAGCCTGAACCTCAGGCTTTATCCTTGCAATTGGGGAAATGCCCTTTATCTTGCAGCCAAGCAGAGCCTGTTGTGCAGCAGCATTAAGAAAGGTAAGAAATATCTGTTCAGAGCATGCACCTAGTACCTTATTTTCAAAGACAGATAGAGAAAGGAAGGAATAAATGAGAGGGGGGGAAAAAAGATAAATTTGTTTTATTCTCCCTTGGCCTTCTTTTTTTTTTTCAATCTGTGGTTGGTGTTCAGTTAAAACCAATTACCAAACACCACCAATGCTTGTACCTGTAGATGCTTTCCAGAGCATGAGCTACAGGCAGGCTCTGAAGGGAGCCGTGTGCCTGCCCTGACATGGGCCCTGGTGGTGTCTCCAAGCCAGTCTGTTGTCCAAGCCCAGGGAGGGATATGGCACAGCAGCCTGGATAGAGAGGAAACTGGATGGGGTGGTAGCGCCATTCATCATAGGGGCTTACAGTGGAGCTGGTCCTGAACAGATTTAATTGAAAGCCATCTTGCTAGTGTATGGATTAAGCCCTTATGAGACTCGGACATCAATGGATTTAATATCCCCTAATCCTCCTTCTGCTGGGTCATGGGATGTAATATCATTATGGGGCCTGCATTGCGTCGTGTCTGAACGCCGAGGCGCTGCCCTTTCCTGGAGCGAGGAAAGGGATGAGCACTAGGGAGCGAAGGAAGCGGGCCTTCCTTCGCGGGAAGGAAGGTTACRCAGGAAACACATGGCTGCACCACAGAGCCATTGGGCACTCAAAGGCACGAAGAGAATAGATAAATGCTTGAATCATTGCACAGGGCTCTCGTGTGCCACCACTTATCACTTGGCTGCGTACGTGAGCAAAGCAAGGCAATGGTAGCCTGTCAGTAGAGTTGCACTGTTGTTTTTCCYGTTGGCGATGCTGCATGCCAAACCGGCTATTATCACTACAAATACAATGGCTTTTACTGCTTGAAGTTGGCCTTGTTTAATGGGAACTATCCCCCCTACCCAAACACATTTAACTGAGAGGGAAGAATGCCACATAGACATTCTTTGTCTTAATGCTTTTAACTTTGGCTTACTCTGAGCTATATCACAGAGCTCAGGAAGAACTGTGACGATGACCAATGCAGACCAAATCTCAGAGCAATTTCACRTTCAAACGACTGCATTAAAATATTCTATATAAGACAGCAAGAGTTGTAGTGAGATGCAGCATTGCTTACCAGGTCAAATGAAAGAACTAGAAGTTAAAAACAGGCTCCCTAAAACCAGCCCTCTGTAAATTAATCTGCTGATTGGACCTTATAATATTCCACAGCAACTCAACTGAGGAGGMCAAAAGGCAGCAGAATACAGTGAAGTTGTATTTGCAATATAATATTTGCACTTAATGAAGCCTCAGTTAATAGGAGCACCAAGTGGGATATACAGAATATTGTATATGAAAACAATCTGTTCTGTGGTCTGGACACATATGCTTCTCCTGGGACTCCTTAGCAGGAAACAGCTAGCAGCATTCCCAAGTGTCTTGGGAGCTGGGAGATGCCTTCCAGGGGCTTTCAGCTCTCAAGTCTCTGCTGATTTCCCCAGGGAAGCTGTGAAGGAGCCAGAGAGCTTAGCAGCTTTTCAGTTGAGGACTCTTCTGCAGACACCCTGGTAAGGTGTGAAAATGAGCTATGGAGGCTGGAAGTGCTGCCAGACACAGCGTGGGGAAACTGTGGAGCCTATGGAGCAGATGGACCGAGGGATGGGAGCAACACAGGCTTGTCTGTTCAGAGTGAAAAATCTTGCTGAAATCCCTGCACTCCTGAGCAACATGCCAATTCTGATTAATCGGAATTTGTTTTGACCAGCTGGAATCGTCACTCTCTTGAACTGTGGAAAACAAATGTTCCAGGCAATCCTCCTTCCACTTGAACAAATTCTAGCAAGACATGAACAAGAGCAAAACGCTATTTGCTGGCATTTCTTTAAGCATGAAGTGCGCAGCGAGCGCAGCTGTGCCTCTGAACGTGACGAGTGTGAGCGTGGGAGCTTTCAGGAGCCATCTGAAAGTGCTCGGTTAGCACGTTTCAGCTTCATGGCCAGGGGCTCTGGTCACTTAGATTAGRACTGATGGTGCAGCAGAGCCTGGTGCTGCTCCCCACCGCTTGCTTCGAGCTGCCTGTAACCCAGCACAGGCACCGAAGGACGGTGCAGATGTGATAAGCTAGAGATGAGCGTGCAGAAGGGGGACAGTGTCACCGTCAGGTGCTCTGCTGTAGGTCACTSGAGCTGCCTACCGAAGCCCTATCAAAATGTGCATCAGGGCCAGGCACAGCAACCAGCTTGTCTCACAGATATCGTGATTTCCCACCTCCAGCCAYGTCGGCTCTTCCTTCTCTCCCAACTGAGGCAAGTGTAAGGTTTTGTTCAAAAGGCCTGAAGCTGCGTGGGAGTCGGGGAGCGCCGCAGMACACACAAGAGCAGGATGGATAGCAGCTTGCAGAAGTACACCGTGTTCCCAGAACAGCAGCTTTTCAGCTGTCTTGTCAGATGCACAGTGTGTAAAGAGCCCGGAATAGTCTTGGGGAAGATGAGTCTGTAACAAAAGGCAGGCAGGGCAGAAAAGGATCATAGRTCCAGAAGAGGATCATAGAGCCTCTTAAATGCCATCTAACTGCTAATCAAGTTCCAAATATAAGTTCTAGAAATCCATGCAAGCCTCCTTGAAGGCCACTGAAGTCCTCAGCYCTCAGCTATCTCATCCCCTGCATTTCTGCAGAGTAGCTGCAATGGTGAATCCACCCAGACCTTTCAGCATTTCCTGAATTTGGTGCTCCAAACCTCCAGCCTCTTGGTACTTCGTGTGCACGCTCTGTAGGTGTCTCAATGCACCAGTCGGAGGGACGGGATATCCAAAGGTCACAGATACATAGGGAGTTAAGGTATCCTGCAGCAATCTCTTCTGTTTGTGCTATACAACTTTGTGGCGCTCTGCAGTTCTCTAAGTAAAGTGAACATGGAAGAGCAGCGTCTTCCAGGCACAGAGCCTCTGCGCTGGTTTAGATGCAAATGATGTGGAGTTCTGAATCTGAATTTGAGTTTGTGTCCAGATCCAAAGGAGGACATGGAAAAAAAATGGAGGCGAGAAATGATTGTCCTCACTAGAGGACAATCCTCTGGTGGACAAAAGGAAAAGGTTGTGTGAAGACAGACCATACAGAATTTAAATAACTCAAGGAGGTTTGGGTCATTTAAGAGAAACTGCCTAGAGGGAAATTTTGATAAAGCATTTCTGTTAATGTAGGAGTTTGCATTCATTATGGAGTGTTTTCTGCATATTTATCCTTTGTGAATTATCTGGTTATTAATTTTAAAGCTCCTATGAAAAAATATTAGCATCTAATGAGTCATATGAATGAAAATGATGATGAGCTCTTGAGAGATTAATGTAGCTTGTCTTGTTGATAAGAAATGAGAAAACCACAAGTGAAAAGTTATTGCTTGAAGTTTCTTCTACTAGAAAAAAAATATTTTTTCTACTCAGTCCCCTGTTTCTTGGGCTAAATTCATCCATAATGACCTGAAATTTATGGTGGAATGGCTCAATTTTTAAAAGCATATGCAAAAGTTTCATCAAAGCTTTTGCTCTGCTGGGCAGGCTTCCAACACTACAGCAAATGCAAGAAGGAAGAGAATTTAATATTTCAGAAGGTGCCTCAGATGGTTATGCACTCTTTCCTTTGTCCTCTTCCTGAAGAATGATAGACAGAAAAGAATGACATAAGCTCAGAAATGATTTGCATGCTGCCTTATAGTGGTCATTTAATGCAGATGGTCTAAAAGAATGGTTGTTTATGTGTCTGAATGTCATTCTTCTACAGGCCCTGCAATTCCGGTTGGAGTGGATGTGCAGGTTGAAAGCTTGGACAGTATTTCTGAGGTTGATATGGTATGTAAAACTCTTCTAAGTCATGAAAACTCTCTCCTACTTGAAACCCACAGATTTCAAATGATGGGTATGGTCACATTCAGGAAATCGAGAGGATGATATTCAGACACAGATCAATAAAACTTCAAGAGGAAAACTTGAAAATTAAATGGGAGAATAATCAGTGTTATGAAGGATATGTTGCAATCAAAACCATGACTAATTGCATATCTTTCATTATACCTCTCAGGGAGTTGTTATTGGTTTGCTTATGGACATTTGAAGGCGTATGTTGAAGCTGGTGGAAGTGCTGCTTATTACATGTGTTTTCTTCCTTAGGGAACCACTGTGTCCATTTGTTTAAATGGCTGCTTAAAGGAGGTACTTTAGCAAAGCAAGCTGGCATCATAAATGAGAACTAGCTGCTCCCTACCACTTCATCGCTAGAAGTCACTTCTGTAATTCAGCACTGAGGCACACACTTGGGAACAGTCAGGGTGGCCTTGAACTACCTCTGCCCAAGGTGAATTTGGCTTCTACTTAGAAACTTTTTCCATCTGGGAGCCATTTTTCAGCCATTTTCTTTATTTTTACTTTTTTTTTTAAAAAAAAGGAGTAAACACACATGTGTTTGTTAACTCTCAACAGGTTTCAAGCAGTTGTCACTAACAAGTATATCTGCAAGTTTTGCAAGTTTCTTTTTTTTGACCATACTAAATGGAACAAAAAGATTGGAAACAGRAAAGACTGGAAAGAGAAATGGAAAGGGAGCACAGAGAAGAGGAGAAATCTTTTGTTCTTCTTCTCCTTTTGACCTTTCTTCCTGGTTCTTTTTGATCACCGTGTCTGGAGGTATCTAGGCAAAACAGGCCTAGGGAAGGCCTCGGAGGAAGACCTTTAGCTTCAGTGCATCTGTAGTTTGTAATGCCAACTTGGGAGCCGCTAGGCCGTAAGACGGAGTGCGTGAATGAGAGCAGCCAAGGGACATTTAAAGCATACGCTCTTAAAGGCAGTGCTTGTGTGGCACAGATGGTCTGTGGCTGCGTGTGCCGTCCAGAGGTGCCCCTGGGGCCTTGGCTTTGTGGAGCATGGTATGTCCAGGCACTGTCCCATGCGTAGCACTTCGGTGGGTTCCTTTGCCTCTGGCATAGCATTCCTTCCCATGGCTGACTATGGAACCTGTTTTCCGAGGAGCTTTATTTCCACCAGCTATAAAGTGACCCCTTTTTCTCTCAGTTTGTAGCTGGCCGTATGCACCAGCCAGAAAGGAACGGCCCATTAATGATTGCCCCCTGCCTTATCTGACTTGAACTGTGAGGAAAGAGACACCCATTGGATTTTCCACTTAAAAGCCACCAGCACTTGCCACTTTGGCTTGATGTTTGCTCACAGCAGTGCTAGTGTGTTGGCCATCATAGGCCCCTTTGGGAGGGAGAGGGGCTAAAGATGAGAGGAGAGGGCTCCTGTCCAGCAGGACTGTGACAGGTGCYAGTTAGGAGCTGGGGTTGTTGCCCCGTGTCCTCCCTGCCCTCTGACAGCAACTGTAGCTCACTTGTGGGTCCCCTACTGATGCCACACATGTCCCCCATCTTCTTGGCCGGGAGCCTTCCTATCTGCAAAGTACCAAACCAGAAAGTCAGATTAATAGGTGCCTCATTAGCATCAAAAGAGAAATGAGGGCCTGACGGTGGTAGTTTTAAGAAGCCCTGGCTGAGTGCTAAGGCCGAGCCACTAAGCCGTGTTGCCGCCTGCCCGGGCCTGGCAGCCATGGCTCTGTAGCTGCCACGGCCACTCACTTAACGGAGGGCACAAAGGGAAAAGTGTATTTGATCTCTCACCATGAGAGAGGAGAGTCAGCTCTGAAAGCAGCAGCTGCCAGGTTGGCATCAGCAAACAGATGTTTTCCTTCCTGTGACTGAAGCTCCTGCCCCCCCCCCCAACAAGCTTAAAAGAGAGATTTATACTCTTGTATAGCTGGAAAAACAGTTCCCTCTCTTGGCTGCTGTTTGCAATAATTTAGTTCCTTTTTAGGATAAATTGCTGTGCGTTTTGCCTGATCATTAAGCTAATTCTGAAAGGCTTTCCTTTTGAACCTATTATGGATCCTACAGTTCTTTAACACAATTTTGTCGGAATTCAAGGATCTTTCATGTGGTGCAGTGTTTCTCTTTTGGCCTATTTGTGTCCTTTTAGGACCACATATTACAGGCTTCTGYAATTCATCTGCTGCAGGTAATTCAGGCTATAGAGCTGTCACATGACATGAACGTCCTGCAGGACCCCATGGAAAATGCTCCAGCACCTCCTCATTTCTAGAGTGCCTCTAAGATAACTTACGATATGAGTGGCCGTATATTTTGTTTTATATGGAGATTATTTTGGTGGGAAAATYCATTCCCAAGAGTATTGGCCCAAGAAGGACACAGCTGGGAGGGAGTSGGTCTCATCTACCTGGTAGCAACGAGATTTCTTTCTGAAATAGATGTGGATGCAAAATGCGACACTGACAGCCCTCTTTCTGGTTCTCTTCCTCTTTCATGAAGGATTTTACTATGACTTTGTACTTAAGGCACTAYTGGAAGGATGAGCGCCTCTCCTTCCCCAGCACCACCAACAAGAGCATGACTTTCGATGGCAGACTCGTGAAGAAGATATGGGTGCCAGACGTCTTCTTCGTGCACTCCAAGAGATCCTTCATCCACGACACGACCACGGATAACATCATGCTGCGAGTCTTCCCTGACGGTCACGTCCTCTACAGCATGAGGTAAAGGGGCAGCCCTCGTGAGTGCCCCTCGGGTCTTCCCTGCACATTCTGCTCTTGACCTCATTTTGGTGACCACAGGAACAGTTCCTAACAACTCCACTGCTACCGCAGCTGAACCAGAGTCCTATTTTCAGTCCTGCTTGGTACCAGATGCTCCACAGGAAGCTGGAAGAAAACCTGCTGTAGGCAGTAACAGGATAATCTCCTCCCCAGGGAAGCACGCTCCGAACTCTTTGCAGTCAGAGGAGAGCTTAGTCGGTCAGGAGTGTTTGTGCCAGGGTCAGTGTGTGATTAAACTGGAAGCTGCTGATATACCAGATGGTGACCTCTAGAATTATCCTATTTTGCTTCCTGTTTGTCTAGAAAAACTTGTGCTTTTTTGTTTCTTTTTTTTCCCCCTATTGGAGTGTGTGCATTGGTATAAAGGTATAARTTTACTGAAGCTGAAAGAACTGCTTTAAAAACACCCTGATTTTCTAACATATTTATTGACTGAAGGAATTTCCCATCAAATTTCATTTCCCTTARAAGAATACAAGAATACATGTGGAGAATAACACACTGCCAGAGGAGAAAAGCTCAAGAGCCCAAACAAAAAGACATTACCCAAAGGCAGAAAACTTGCTCCAAGTACAGTGACCTTTGAATATTTTATGGCATAGGAGTTTCTATTCTAGTAGCTTTCTGGAATTTACTCCTTTCTTGAAAAAATAAGTCTCAGGAACTAGGAAAGCTTTTTTATAAACTTTGATTTGAAAGAATATTCTTCTTTGAAGAATATACCTACTGGAGGTTATTGTCCTAGCCGGTGTGTATAAGAAAGTGAATACTCACTATATGGTTTACCTGTGAGCACTTGGTGCCTTTGGGCTTTCCTTGAGCATCTGAGATCTTGAGCATCTGAATCCCCATGGCGTTAAGCTGATATGATATGATATGATATGATATGATATGATATGATATGTTATGATATGACCCATGGACAAGTGTGCCCTTCTGGAGGGACCTGGAGGCCAGGCCGATACCTTCAAAAGGTGCAAGATTGCCTGCACTGGACAGCTGAATCAACCCCCTTGTGAATGCAGTCARTGGGTTTGGATGAAGCTCACCCTGGGATGCACAGATGGACTTGTTCTCTAGGCTCTGCCGTACGGAGTGTATTGATTTGATCTCTGCTGATTAAAATAGCCATTCAGAGCTTTTTGTTAAAAGCATTTTGTAGCACTTGTGGTTTTCTCAGATGTGTGTTTACCATGTGCCTGTGATAATGTGAATATAGACAGACTGAATTGAGAGGCGTTTCATGCCTCATGAGGGGGCCCTGTGCTTTCAAGGCAACCTTCACAACTCCACTTTAATGGAGAAGTATTTTATTGATGAGCTGAGTTTCTGTTCCTGACTAATGAATTGTTAATGACTGCAGGCTATGCTACAATTCAGGTGACCTTGAAAAAGGAAAATAGCACCAAATTACACCATTGTCATATGCTACTCACAGTTAGTCATTACTGCAATGTCCATTGTTGAACATATTCTCCAAAAGATAATTTAAATTTTAAWTTAGCTCATATTACAAAATTCTGCCCTGCCTTGTAGTCAAAGCCAATACCATGTGCTTTTTAGGACTGATAATACACATGTCAGAGTRGGATTTGGACCACAATCCCTTGAACAGAAGTTCTGAAGAATTTAATAATAATAAAGAATTTTTATTCTTTATCAACATGCACAGTGAATCCAGAAAATGTCACAGCTAACATAAGTGGCCTCTGAAATGTCTGACTGACAGCCCATTTGCCCCTGTTAAATTGGGAGCTCCACTGCAAATATATCCACAAGGGAACTTTCTAATTCTCTGGAAAATTTGTCACCTGATTTTATGTTCAATTATAAATCTGGATTATAATTTCTTTGGCTAAGATTTGGTTTCTTTGGCTAAGATTTGATTTTAACAGAGATAAACTTTTCTCCTTGAAGAGTAACTGCTCCCATTTTACACTGCCTGCCCTCAGTAATAAAAAACTCTCCCAGGTTAAAACAATTTGATCCAGAACTGAAAGAAGCCACTTCTTGCTTAATGTTGTATACACTGGAAGAATTTCCTGGCATGCCATGTGGCTGGTTCATGGCTTAGGCTTCATTGGTAGGGTGACTATGATAGCAGCTGAACTGAGGGGAAAATGAAGAATCCTTGATCAAAGTAGACATAAAGGAACCTTGAAATGTAAATGGTAAAGTTATTTTTCAAGTTGTTGTTTTGTAGGAGAAACCTACATAGAGTAGAAATATCATTATTGTCATTAGTATTAGTGTAATCTCCAAGACAGTACTTTAATTCCTTGGTAAGTATTGAATTTACAGTTTCCTTGAGAGTTCACAGAATCACAAAATGGTTGAGGTTGGAAGGGACCTCTAGAGATCATCAAGTCCAACCCCCGCTGACGTTTTGTGCAAAGTCTTTCTCACCTGGGCTTCATATTTAATAGGTATGTTCTTGGGTGTTTTATGCTAATATTATGTATAATTGCTGGTTTTAAATCTGCAAATAATTTTTCTATATTAACATTTTCTCATCATTAATCCTCACAGAAAATAACCCTTCTGTGTTTGGTGTTCTAGGATCACAGTAACAGCAATGTGCAACATGGACTTCAGTCGCTTCCCCCTGGACACTCAGACCTGTTCTCTGGAGCTGGAAAGCTGTATGTTGTGTCTCTGTTCCTAGCTAAGTGCACTCTGTAGCTAGCTGCACACATGTAGGCTAAAACTTTTCAGAACATAGTCTATTTTTGAGACTAAAAAAATGTTTACTGAAGTCACAGGGAGAGTCTTTCTATTGATTTATTGGACATTATATCTGGCCTTTTTGGTGCAAGACAGAGGGGAATGTGCAAGGAAAGTGTTCTTGCATGAATTTTAGTATATAGCATTTACAAAAAATAAAAACACTATTGGAAGTGTTCAACGTAAGTTGTTTTTCAGCAGTTTAATGATGTGAAGATTGGGGATGAGCTTTTACAGTGTTCATTACTTCTGGCTGGAAAATAGCATTTTCAAATGTAAAAAGTTGAGTTTAATGATAGATGCTTTTGGTTCCTCTAAGTTTCATCGCCAATATATGATAATCTTGATCCTGCAATCACTTTGAATTGTCCTTCTGAACTTAGAACTTTTAATGGAAAGTAGTAGTTTGATAAAAAACAGCTCTTCAGACTTTCTCCAGGGTGTTCAAAGATTAATGTCTAATTGTTTTGAGATCCTAGCAGCTGTTTATCTGAAATTTTCCTTTACGAAAAAACAGAATAACAAAAATACTGAATAGTTGGATTGGAGGGACACTTGTGGAGATCAGCTGGTCCAATTTCCCTGCCCAAAGCAAGGCCAACTTTAAATATAGAGTGAGCTGCTCAAGGCCATATCTAATCAAGTTTTGATTATCACCATGGCAGTAGAGGCTCTATAAGCTCTCTGTGCAACCTCTTCAGATTTTTGACTGCCTTCTTCACGAAGAATTTTTCCTTACACTGTTTTGGAAAATCCCATGCTGGCGTTGGCATCCATTGCCTGTTGTCCTCTCCAATTCTAAGAAGAGTTCGAGAAGTTTCTGACCCCCACATACTTTGTAATAAGGCAGCAGCTGGATACCACCATAGACCCCTCTTCACTAAACAAATCTTTTCTCTTGTGTTATGTGTTCAAGCTCTTAACCATCTCAATTGCCTTTTTTTTTCTTTTCCTCATCTCTATCWTGCTATGCAGTTTTTCAAGTTTTGCATTTGCAGTCTTCAAATATTTCTACATTATTGCTTCAAAACATACCTGTTATTTTTGCTTTTATCATTCTAAGATAGTTTAACTTGTCTTTTTTTTTCTATCTTTCTCTAAATTTAGCCATTTTACCCATAGCTAATTTTCTCTAACTTATGCGTCCRTGTTGCAAAACATTTACCATTCCTTTGTCTATATATTTTTTTTTGTTATGTGATCCTCAGAAAAGCACCATTCTAGCTTTGTGTTTACCAGTGTAAAGTGAGGATGTGCTTCCCTAAATCAGGATAGTCTGGATTTTTTTTGCTGTTGTTGTTGCTATGGCACATCATATGGCCGGGTCTCTACAAACCACTGATTTTTTTCAAAAAATGTTGTTGGTTTTACTACCTGCCAAAGTTGTCTTTCTGTTTCTTAATTTTCTCTGGATCTGTTAACCATTTTTCTTCTTCAAGCTAAAGCCACACTGCATTATGTTTCTTCTTCCCCTAAGATGCTTACACTGATGAAGATCTGATGCTTTACTGGAAAAATGGGAATGAATCTCTGAAAACTGATGAGAAGATATCTTTATCTCAGTTTTTGATACAAAAATTTCATACTACATCAAGACTGGCCTTCTACAGTAGCACAGGTACTGGCTTTCTCTAATTTAAATGCTATTTCTATACCAACTACTTGGGCAAGATCTCTCATCTGACTTTGTTTGCATTTATCTTCTGTGGTATGGCAYTGAAATGTGATCTCCACTGTTTGGAGAACACATGATGASCAGAAATATCATGAAAGATTGTTCTCTCTTTTCTCTGCTCTTTAGAAATAARAGATCAAAAGGCAGGTGTCTTGCCATGCAAGCTCTTCTCACTGCTTCTGGCTTTCTTCTCCCCAAGGTTGGTACAATCGCCTCTACATAAACTTCACCTTGCGCCGACACATCTTCTTCTTCTTGCTCCAAACCTACTTCCCTGCCACTCTGATGGTCATGTTGTCCTGGGTGTCTTTCTGGATTGACCGCAGAGCAGTACCTGCCAGAGTCTCTTTGGGTGAGAGCAACTACAATAAGCCAAATAAGTCTTAAAATATTTAAATGTGAAAGCTTTGTTCAGGGAAGGAAATTTTCCACTTTGCTGGTTACATACATTGGGAAGCAAGTGTCTGTTTTATCTGATGATTAATATAATGTAAAACTTGCACTTTTCTGAAGTCCTTTGTCAGAGCAGTCCTTCTGCTTGATATTTAACTCAGGTCAAAGGGCTCTCCAGAAAAGAAAGGAAATGAAAAAAAAGAAAAAAAAGAAAAAAGAAAAGAAGAGATTTCAATATTTGTGAGTGAGTCAAGGTTTCTCACCATTGCCCAATCCTTCAGAGAAAAACATTGCCATCAGTGATTGTGGATTTTTACAGGAGTTTTGGCACCTAGAGAGATAGGATCCTGCTACGATTTGTCTTGAGTGCATAGAATTATACGCAGAAAAGGATCTTGTTGTGTCCCAGCTGTCCTAGTGGCTTCCTCAGGGCAGGTTTGAGTCTTCCCAAGCAGCCAGCACTTGTGGTTTGGCCAGTCACCTACTCCAGGCTGCCTGGAGGGAGTCAGCCTTGTGTATCTTTACAAAGTCAGGGAAGAAGGGCGGCAAGGGACCAACCCCACTAACATCTACAAACTTAGATGTTCCTCAATCTATCATGACTTGAGACAATCAGAGCACCTCTAATAAAAGGGTAAAAACAATAAATTAGCCCTACAGTTTCTCTCAGTCAGAGACCTGTGCATTGTAGCACATATATGAGAAGAGATGGGCAAGAGTCTACATTCACTGAAAGAAATGTGTTCAGTGGATATTATTAGAAAAAAAAAAGGGAGATTCTGTTTAAAAGTGTACAACAGTGGTTGCACTTGCAGTGATCACTAGTTAAAAATGGCTGAAGAAGCTATGTTTTTTGTTGTTCTTCTGTTTTCTATATTTAAGAGGCTTTGGAAACTTCTGAATGTTTTTCTCTCCATGACTATCCAAACAAAGGATATATTATTTGGTATGATCTTATCTGTATTTATTTAAACATTTATATATCCACACTCATAGGGGAATGCACACAACCACACAGAGTATGATGGCTGTTGTTCAAAACTTTCTGATTCCCATATCTTGAACTGTAGAGTCCTTGAGATTCCTTGACACAGAAACACAATACCTTGTTTTGCACTTTTTCATGCAAAATATTTCTACGATCACCCAGTATAAATTTTATCTTCACTGTTCGTCCCTTTTGAGGTGAGTGATTCAGATCAAATCCTCTTTGTCTGTGACCAAAAATCAATAAGTACTAGGTTGTTTTCTCATATTCCCAGTGACACAGAGTGGGGCAGATGGAAAGCAAGGGTCTTTTTCATCACTGGTATTTGTGGACCTGGCTCTGATCATGGTGCTGAAGTAGAAAAACTTGTCTAAAGAAAATCTGAGCAATTTCCTCAGAGGAAAAAGGAATCCTAATCCTGGAGATAAAGGAGGGAGATAGATGCTATCCCTAGTGAAAGAGGGGCCGCTTCATTGCTCCTCAAAACTGAGTCCATCATGTGCACAGAAGTGCAGGCAGTGGGGCGGATCTGCATTGGCCGAAGAGATACTTCTCACTGAGTGCATCATGCTGAGTATCTGTAAATTAATAGAGGATAACTTGGAGCTTTTTTTTGAGACAAAAACTCTACTTCGATGGTATTCTGGATCGTATTATCTAATAGCATTTCTTTGTCATGGATCTTTGCAGGGATAACCACYGTGCTGACCATGTCTACGATCATCACGGGAGTGAACGCCTCCATGCCCCGGGTCTCCTACATCAAAGCTGTGGACATTTACCTGTGGGTCAGCTTCGTGTTTGTCTTCCTCTCCGTGCTGGAATATGCGGCAGTGAATTACCTGACTACAGTGCAGGAACGGAAGGAGAGGAAACTCCGGGACAAGGTGAAAGAAACTTTTATTTATTTATTTATTTATTTATTTATTTATTTATTTATTTATTTATTTAATATATATGTGTTTTTTTCCAGCTATTTATCTCTTTACTGGCCTTTTCATGTGTCTGTAAATAGGAAAACACTGATACTCCTGTGTGTGTAATTTAGTTTGTTTTCACTGCTCAGCCTGCTGCTGAAATGCTGATACCACCAAAAAAAAAAAAAAAAAAAAAAAAAAAAGTTAGACTCAGGCATCCTTGGAGAAACAGCAGAGAAGAGGGGGACATGGTCAGAACTGGGGAAGTCTGTGGCCTGGGAGTGTGTGGGGATGAAACACTAAATCTGATATCTCACTTCAAATGCCACAGCTATTAAATTTTTAAGGAAAGGTGCTTCCCAGAATGAATTAATGTCCCCTCTTAACAGTCAGCTTCATTGCAGAAACTGAATTTGATGAATGTAATAGCAGACTGTTCCCTGAAACCAAACACCTGCAAACAGCATTCAACCAATTTTATATTTATACTTTTTATGTACAGGTCTTATGACAGATCTTATCYTGCATTTTTAGAGGTTTCCAAGACCCAATTGGATAAAGACCTGAGCAACTTGTTCTGACCCTATAACTGGTCCTGCTTTGAGCAGGTTGAATGAGAGACATGCTGAGGTCTTTTTCAACTTCTTCTTCTTTATCCTTAAATAAAATGCCATCATCTTTTGAGGCTGATGGTGCTTGCAGTTTGGGACCTTTTTTCAGCACTTATATATCCAGAACATCACCAGGTTTTACAACCTCTAGAGCTTGATTACCTACTGCCTTTTGTTCTTGGAGAAGCTTTCGGTCTTTCAGAGAGGCCAATGCAGGCAAGATCTTCCTGATAACTACATCATTACCTCTGAACCAGTCTTCTAGCTTTACATTTCCTTCTCTTCCCCTTGCACTTYCTTCTACGGCTTTCTTGAAGTACTGAACAGCTCCCCTACCAGTCCAATACCTTTGTTAGTTGACCTCTCATTTAAATTTTAGACAGATGAGTTTTAAAAATTGGTTGAAATCAAAGTGACAAAATTTTATCTATATCCAAGGCCTTTTCCACAGCAGTGAGTCTCTGGAAAGCTACTTTAACAGGCCCAATGTCCCTCCTAACTGTCTGTACCTCTGGATTTGATTTATATCAGATATATCCTAGTCCTCACCCATGGCACTGCAGTTCTCAGCAGCACAGGACAGAGCTGTTCAGTGCAAGCACAGTGAGTCCAGCATCTCCACATTGCTGTATGTGAGCAGTGGGCCATGGCCCATCAGCCAATCTTGCTTAGGCTGCCATGTAGCTTAAAATGTAGCTTAAGGACTCTTGAAGAAGCAGGTGGTTGTCACAGTAAAGGGAACAGGGCTGTGCTTTCAAGCCAAACTGCGATTCCACCTGGGGGCTGGGGGTAAATCTGATTAGTTTTTCYTCCTATTCCTGCAGCAATCACTAATTGCCATTCACTGTGGCCACTTTTTCACACACCCACTCTCTCCTGGACCTGTTAGCAGTGAAAAATAAGTCTCTTTATGSAACAAAAAATATCACAAGTTCTATRTATACTTGCTTAGTATAAATAATTTCTCAAAAGCCAGTTTATGGTCAGCATGGAGTGTTCTAAAAGAGTGATGRGTCTAACAAGGGGGGAAAAAAAAGAGGCTACCATCTTGTCAGGTTTTTCCTGACATCATTTGCTGATGCCAAATCAAWTGGTTATGACTAGAATAGAGAAAATAATTCATAATTTGATTTTCATATCATCAGTAAGCAATGTGATAGCACTTGTCGWAAAAAAAAATCAAATAAAAAGCCTTGCGTGCATCATCTCTTGAGTAGTATACTCAATATACTGTATTTTTGTGTATATATCGTTCATTATTTTAGCTGAAGTTATCCTTGCAAGCAAGTCCTTGGATAACCAAAATATTTAAGTCAATGGAAGGAGAAATTTGGGGCAATATGCTCTTGGGTAAGGAGAGCAGTCTGGGAGGAATCAGAGAAAGTAACTTCTAACAGAAAGTAGGATTTGGAGTCCATTTTCCTGGTATGCAAACATATAATCCGTGTTGCCAAGACAGAACATCTACAGATTTCAAAGATGAAAAGACATTTTTTATGATTTAAGGTTCTATCTGTATTCAATATGTTTCTTGGATTTGTGGAATGAATTCTGGGCTGCAGAAATTAATGCAACTTTTAACATTGACTTCAGCAGAGCTAGGGTTTTATGTTAATCTTTTAACAACTCCTTTGCTTGCTTTAAAATCAGATTTAAATCTGTGAAATCAGAACCTGGCCTTTCAAAATAGCCATCCTGAACAGAGATAGTTGATAAAACTATGTAATCAGTTTTTATGTCCAYTAAAGCACTTGTCTAATCACTTGTTCTGCATCAGCTTGTCCAAGCAGTGTAGCTTGGGCATTTAAGCTACATGTCATTTTTGTGGAACAAGAATGAAAAATGGGAGATTTGCTGAAAGAAATTTGCAGAATCTCAGCTAAAATTTTGATCTCTCCTATCTACAAGCTGTTGGTAAAAAGAAAAGCATCATTTTTATTGCTAATGTATTCTTCCAGTGTTCAGCTACATTTCTTGTTTGTGTTCCTAGTTTCCATGTACGTGTGGGATACCTCATTCAAAAACTATGATGCTGGATGGAAACTACAGTGAAGCTGATGCCAACAGCCTGGCAGGTTATACAAGAAGCCAGATGGTCCCAGAGGAAGAAAAACAAGAAAAGATGGTCGTGCACTTGACTATGAGCAATGAATCTAATTCATCAAGGAAGAGAGGCCTGAAGGGCCATGTTGGCCTRCGTATCATCCAGAACTCTCACGCAATTGATAAATACTCAAGATTAATATTTCCAGGCACCTATATATTTTTTAATTTGATATACTGGTCTGTCTTTAGCTAGGCATGCTGCGGCAGCGGTGACTGAAGCAGAAAAATACTTTCTTTTGTTGGTTCTTTTTYAAACCTGGTTTGAATGGAAAGCTAGAAAACTGATTATTTTGCTACTTCTTTGAATGGCAGTGGGGGAGACGGCATCCAGTGGACWAGACCATGCGCAGGCATCATGGAGAAACCTGCCTCTCTGGTTGCTCTCCACCCCCCACTCCAACTCCAGTCCACTTTGCATTACTTGCTGCTCCTCATACTTGAAAATACACACTTGCCATTTGCCCAAAAGGTGCTGGAGATACATTTGGAGCTGGCAGTGCTGCTGGTGCTTGCTGTACAATGGAAAACCACAGAAAAATGCTGAAAATGTCCTGATGGATTAGACTTGGTTTATGAACATCAGATGTCTTTCCGTTGGCTTATGAACAAGACCACTTTGCAGCATACCAATTTTGCCCTCTGGACAGGACTTGCATTGATGCCCATTGGACTCCTGACTGCACAGGATCATTGGGGTTGGTTATAGAGGCACAAATGATATATTTGAATCCATGGTCATTTTTTTCAAAATTAGAAACAAGGCAGAGAAGCCCATRAATTCCTAGAGAATAACTTCCGGGGCTCATGGATAACCTCAAAAATGAAGTTCCTACAGGTTTAGTTTGTGTTCTCTCTTTAGGCAGAGCACAGCATGTGATATGTGGCACGTGCCCTCTGAAAGGGAGGGGAAGGTGGTGTGAGAGACAGGGATGGGCAGCGACGCCGGGACCGTCGCTTCCTCCCGCCGCAGCTGAAAGCAGAAACCAGTGCAGCACTGGCAGCTTCCAGGGACCTTCCTCATCCCGGTGAGGAAAGTGCAGCCTGCAGAGAGCCTGTATGTCCTGATATGCCTCTCCAAAGATACTCCCTGTCTGTCAGTTTAGGCATTTTGGACCAAGAGGGAGAGGTGCCTGCCAGGACCTCTCTCAGCAGAAATATAGCCAAAAATAGCTGTTGAATACGGGATTCAGTAAAGCCCAAGCCTCTGGCTCCAAGGCCAGAGTAAGGCCTGTGAAGCTGCTGGAGAATACTGTAGCAAGCTTCTGTGCTTGGTGGTTTGCTCTCCGTCCCGTGAAATCTCCCTTCCTTTGCTAATGATGCTGGCAGCAAGACACAGATGTTCCTGTGTGGTAGCAGCAGCGATGGCTGGGTGTGTGTGCTCTTTAACTTTAAATATACACCATGGTTTTGTGGGCTGGGGAGGAGATCATGCTCATCAGAGCATTTGCTTAGCAAGCCAAAACTCAGCAGAGTGGGAAGAGCTTGAAGTGGGAAGATCCAGTACGGAAGTTAGGAGCCAAATCAATATTCTGAAATCACCTGATTAAGTGTTCTGAACAAGGAGATTCACATAAATCACACAGGTAGTGGGACAGGCATTAAAGTTCTAGCAATACCCAGGTGTAACATCCATCCCCCTTTTCCAAAAAAAAAAAAAAAAAAAAAAAAAAAAAAAAAAAAAAAAAAAAAAAAAAAAAAAAAAAAAAAAAAACCAGAWAAAATCAGTAAGAAAGTTGTAGCTATTAATTGGGCTTTGAAATCTTCTGCTTACTGTAGCAGTAATGCTTGCATTTTCAATTTAAAGAGATTTGAGAAGCAGACTTGGAAGTTTCAGCTCCAGAATATCCCGAATTTCCCTACTGCCTCAAATACTGCTACCTAAGTCTGTTTCAAGGGTCACACTACTTCAGTGAAGACAAAATTGATTAGAGAAACTAAAATCAAGACCTGTGTCCTGCTTTCATCACTCCTGATACTAACTGACACAGACAGAGTTGTGGGTGTTCAGAAAAGGCAGAAACAGAGCCCTGGAATTGCTAGTGAGAACAGCAGGGAAGGCCTGAAACGGCAACATCTGAAAGGCTTGTCCTGCTCTTTCCTTGCCATGTCATCAGGCCGGTGTATTGACCAACATCAATCTTCTCGGAGCTGAAACCTGGCTACTTCCCACATTGACCAGTGGAGGTTAAAGATTACCTGCTATCAGAAGGCAGGAAATATTAAAGAAATAGCTTACTCAATTCTCTGAGAGGTTAAACCATAAGAAAATGCATTTCTTTAATATTAACCCTTTTAAAGCAAAAATCACTGCTATGTTTAGAAAGCCAAAGGGAGCAAATGGAGGGGACTGCTCTAGGCTCTCAGATGCAAGGCTGGAAGAAGGCGCCAGAATTGGTATGATTACATCTCTGAGTTGGGAAGTAAGACCCTAGGCCCCATTTTGGCCGGCTTCCTGCGTTGCCCTTGGCCATTTTGCCTCTCTGTGCCTCAGCTTCCCCGTCAGGGAAATGGGAAGCAATGACACTTACTACCTGGGGAGCTGCCGGGAGGCTGAGCGCGCGCGGGCGTGAGGAGGGGTTGTGCTTTCTGCGCAGGAAACCTTGCGGGAGCCTCAAGTAGTGACCACGTGTGTCCTCTGAATCAGGCTGSCTGGGAGCAAGCGAGAAGATCTTATCAGAGATTGACCTGCACGAGACAAAATTGTTTCAGTTGTACCCTCCATTCTGGAAGAGGAAACGGGGCACTTTAAATTTGCAGATTGAGGGGGTGTCTAAATGTAGCCCAACAGCTAGAAGGTAAATATTTCTCATGAATAATGCCTCCTGCCATACAAAAAAAGAGCTAGCGCTTTACTTTGCCATCTGTTTTTATGATGTCTCTTTTTCCCTTGAAAGCTTATGTGGTGACAGAGACAGCTCCTTCTCTCTTATCACCTTTTGCACTAATGCTACCTATAGCTTAAATGCTGCTTAATAAACCTGTTTTGAACAGGCTACCTTGCCCTTACTCTAGATGCATGTGCACATGGCTGATGGGGCTTGGTGTGTAATGAAACACCCATGGTTGTTTCTACCAGGCACAATTACACAGCCCACAGAATCCTCAAGGAGGGTATTTTTTGTTGTTACTAAGGTTGAAACAATAGAKAAAAAGGATAGATGCAAATACAACAAGGATGTCTGCATCCCATAGCCTCTGAACTGTGTTTTCCTGCTTATTCGGAGGAGGCTGGCTAGGCATGAAGCCAGGGCAGGGAGCTGGATGGATAAATGGATAATAAATATCCATCTATTATTATCCAGGGGGCATTTCACCTTCCGTCTCTCCAGAGACAGGAAAGGCTTCACTGCCAGTTCCTAGATCCAAACAGCGTTTTGGGAAGCAGCCCCTAACGTTAGTCCCCGAGCGSTGTCAGGGCAGCCCCACCTGACGAAGCCCTGAGCACCTGGATAAATCACGTGCCACAGGACAGGGTTTTGGGGAGTGCATAAGGGATGCTGGTGTGGAAAGCCCACTGGTGATGGTGCCACCTCTGAATAACCTGGTAGAAGGGACAAAACGTCAGCCCAGCTCATTTGGCATCCACCTGGACTGCACCTTTACTGACTTCTCTCTAACCAAATCATGTCTTTGAAAGACAGCAACTCTGTATATGTGTTTACATATGTAAAATGTATATGCATGTAACATAACGAAGACAATAGGATGTCTACCTATGCTAAATAGTGTACAGATGTGGAATTGTAACATATTGTATGTAAACTACCATGTATAATATGCTGGAAGACTTACAGACTACAGACTGTGCTGGACTGAAGAAAGGCTTTGAACTGGCCAGCCAAGGGCTAAGAAATGGGACATCCACGAGTTATTCCATAATTAAAGATTACTCCATCTCCTAACCTTTTTCTTCCAAAGAAGGTTGCCTTGAGAAGCATGAAAGGAAGGCTGGTGCTAAAATGGCTAAAATATATAGCTGGTAGAGTGCACAGTCCACTGTGCTGATTTCTGTACTCAAACGGTAATAAAATAACATATGGGAAGGATGGAAATGAGCTCATGACATACGTGAATTTAACACATCATTTTAACTCTGTGTGGAGCTCTGTTAACTTAGAGTTAATGCCTGCTGGTAAAGAAATTGAATAAACACCTCACTTGTAACTGAATTTAAATAAAAACCAGTCTCAAAAGACAGAAGAAATTCAGTGGAAGCATGCAGGCACTTTTAAGTATGCAAAGCTCCTTGGCAAAACCCAGACATTAATTATAGCTGTAARCTGCAGAGACCTTTGGTAAAAATAGCAACCCACAATGGAAGAAATTTTAATAATTACCCCAAATTTAAGGGGGCATTTTCAAAAGCCCAAATGGCAGGTAGATTCCTTAGTCTCCATTTGACTATAAATGAGGACTGACCATTTAATTCCTCCTTTGTGCCTCTGAAAAGAATGTCTCCATAGTCACTAATGGAAGATAAAACCGCTTCTAGGTCCCAGCTGCCAGATCTTAGCTATTGTGCCTAATGCAGATAATAAGAGTAAAACGAAATGTGCATAGACTAGATTGATACCAGCACAAGTGAATAATGGCTCTTGTCTGTCAAATGTCCGCAATGACAAGGTTACAGTAAGGCAGGCAGCTGAGCCAGCTGAGTTGCTGAAATTTAAAGGAATGGAAAGTGTACTTTAAAATAACAAGACTTCAGCACTATTCAAATTAAAATATCATCCAGGCTGACACGAAGYGGATAAATTCCTTTACAAAAATGCTATTTGAAATACAGTATCAGAGCCAGTCCTTTCCTGGGTAGTGGAGTTACATTTCCCAGGAAGRTGGGACAGTGGAGAGGGAAACCAGCCGCGAGACAGCAGAGACACAGGGCTGTTCCCTGGGCTCCATGGTGCTGGGGACCCAGAGCTATGTTTTTATGATCACAGTGAGGTTCCTGGGCTCATTCTGGCCACCATTTCTGCCCACAGCTTTGCCTTGGCTTGCTGCCTTTGCTCAGGCCCTCTCCACAAGCCCACCAAGTGATATATTGGCCATGTACTCCTCCGGGAACATCCCTTGGCTCCCAAAAGATGCTCAGCTTTGAGGTGAGAGCCAAGTTGAGAGCAAAGACACTGTGCAAAATTTGCATCCCTGGACAGCCACACCATTTTCTGTGACTCACCTGTGCCTTCATGCCGCCAGTTTTTGGCACTGAGCTGCATCGTGCCCGTAAAAAAGGCTGCATCTGACCTTGAGGCAATGCAATGGAGCCCATTCCCATGTCGGCTTGGGACTGTGTCCCTGACTTGGCCAGTTTTCCAAAYTGAATCTCTTCCCTGGGTCTGTTAGGAGGCTCCACGTGTTGTTCTGTGCACTTGGAACCATAGAAATTAGCTCAGG